CACCAGTCGGTATATCTTAGCCGCTCGAGGTATACTGGCATATCTTTGTTACGAGCACAACTATTAACATTTCCTGTGACACCCGGCATTAGCCATACGTCGGCTACTTCACATATCATTTTCCTGGGGCACCCGGCGTTAGCCATACGTCGGTACATCCCCGCGTCTTGACCAATCCTGTGACCCCCGGCGTTAGCCATACGTCGGCTAGTTCACGATAACCAACCTCCTGGGGCACCCGGCGTTAGCCATACGTCGGCTCATCCCCGCGTACGTTAGCCATACGTCGGCTCATTCCCGCGTCTATTTTCCTTTGGCGCTCAGGTTAAGTAACAAACCTGAGTTAGCCTAGTAACACTATCTTCACCAAAATACAGCCCCCAGCCACGCGGCTGTGACCCCTCCGGCTCGTAACATTATAAACGGAAGTAAATGCAAGAACGAGGAAAAAGTTTGAAAAAAATATAAAAATTATAATTAAAATCGGAAGAAATAAAGGAACGTATGTCTCGTTTAGTTAAAAACATTTAAATCTCTGTTCAAATTATAATACTGAAAAAAATATTTTTTACATAAAGTGAATGACATTAAATTATTCGACAGTTTTCAAGATTACCAATATTTATTTGTATACAATTGTACATATTTTTTTTATTGAAAAAAAATACATTCAGATTTTCATAATAACATGTCCTTGAGATGACCTTGGATTTCAATAAATTTTATTTAAATAAAATTTGTTGTAACTTTCACTTAAATCAAATTACATATTCAAAATGAAACATTCCAATTAATATGTTCATTAGATAAGTATAATTATTAAACAGATCCAATGATAACAATAATACTGTTTTGCGTGAATCTCACTAATTTATTAGTTAATTGATACTAATTGCAATTATTGAAGTTGATCGATGTCTCTGATTAATTAATGAAGCTTTCGTAAACCAAATCAACGATTTATATCACTGATTCTATTACTATTTACCGTGTTGTGTAATTATTATTGAAATAGTGATTATTCATGGTTATTACATATCTTGAAAATCCTAATCCAAAATTTGGAAGTTAATTATCAATTATACTTCTATACCACAGCAAATTAATTAATATTTCGTTAATTATTGTCATAGTGTTTTTGTTCTTCAAAAACCTGTCAACATAATTTTTCTTTCCTGAATTTTCCTGCTTGATATATCACTTTTATTGATTTTTATGAATACAATAATTTTTCCCATTTAAATTAAATTATATTTATAATTGCAGAAATGATATAATAGTACAAAACAGATGCAATAAATAATGTTATATTATCGAAAAACTTTTTAATATAAGTGATCATTGTTTAAACAACATATATAATTTCGTATTATAAATAAACAAGGTGAAGTGGGCTAACAAGGGACATCACCAAGGTGTCACACGCCGATTTTAATGAAATTGATATATGTTGTAGCTTTTTAAAAATCATTTGACACGTATTTTTTTATATCTGCGGACATCCATGTTGAGGGGGTGAAAATAGCCCTCAAAGTTCGGGGTTGAAAACACATTTTCTTTAATATCTCGGAAACTAGAGGGAGTAGGAAGGTAAATTTTTTTTTTAAATTGTGTAGTTTTTAGTCAGGAATTTAGTTAGTGACAACAATTTCGGGAGAAATTATTTATTTAAATAATATATTAAAAAAATGCACTTTTTTTCAATTTTTTATCATAAATGCAGTTCGATTTTTTTGCAGCTTTGT